GAGATATTTGACAAAATGTGACTTGTGCAGCCATCTTGTGTTTTCATCGGCGTCTGTCACAATCGCACACTTTCTAAAATTCTAATTCTTTCAATTAGAATGTGTTTATTGGCGTTTATACGGACCAGACCACCCTGTAGGGAAGTCTACCCGTGAGTTCTATACCCGTAAAAAGTTCATTTGTGCAATTGTTCAGACAGAAGTTGGAATTTACGAAATCGATTGTCTCTCTTGCACATCGCATATACATACACGGTTCCCGTTGATTGTGTGAGTGCACGGCCAGCGCACGGGCCACGGAGTCTCCCCCCTTAAACCCTGTGTCACGGCTCCGAGCGCCAGCGAGTCTTCCGCCCTTTCAAGGACCCGAAATCCCGACTGTATCGACTGAAAGCGCCCACGAATTTATCATTCATCTTCATCATCATTAGTATGTTAAGATTTATTTGTATCTTATATTTTTTTTTTACTGTTAGAATATATCTTTGTTGTTATTCTAAACGAGAGTGATTTCCTATCCCTCCCGTTTCATATCCTAATTGTGTACTTCACCGGTAGGCTTAGACAGAGCGTGCTTTAGCACCTTAAAAGAGCCAAGACCCGAAATTATAAATAAAGTAATGACCACAACGCAGGACGTAACATGATTATAGCACATTTTTTATCATATTTTTTTTTTCATGATTTTTCAAGGTCACCTTCAATTTTTTGCAAATACACCTATAATTTTTTTACGCCTATCTGTTAGAGGATTTCAAGACGAATTCGGTAAGTATCATAACATAACATGTGTTAATTCTGCTTGCGGATTCATGTTTAAAGCGAGAAACTCTACAAGAACCGTCCAGTGGATATTGCAAAATAGAACTAAGATTAAAATTTATTGGACAGTATTATTTATTACGAAGGAAGTGGTGCGTGCAAAGGCTTTTCAGGGGGAGACACGGTGTTTTATAAAAATTTGTTTATTTCTTAATGATCATGTATGTATAAAACTACCCTCTAATAGCGTTTAAATAGCCATCTGTCTGTATCGAGAATATGAAATGTCCTTGTGTTTTAACACTCGCGCGGCCTGTCTATCTTTCGATTGACCGACTCGACTACTGAATACCTACAAAAATAACAATTTCGTAGTTCACCTGTCGCTTAAAAAACGAAAAACAATGTAAAAGTAACAATCGTGCGGACGCATACAGAACAATATTTTTCGCCAGATAAATTAATTAAAGTATCCCATCGGGAGCAATGAGGAATTCAACAATTTTACGCTCGACAACCTACGATTAATATTAAGTAGAATCATAAATAACTTCCGATTAACGATTTTTAATTTAAATCGGTTCACAACATTTTACAATTAACACTGGCCTATTTTCGCCATTATTATTACAAATCAAATAAATGTTGCACGATCTCTTTATTGTTTTTCATCCTTATTCAAAGAATCATCGACGACCATAACGGAATTCGTTCAGGAATCAATTCAATAATCGTTCCCTTTAAGCTCTTTGATTACAATTTCGTTATAGGTTCCACAGTCCATCGTCCGAATATTGTCATGATCGGCAGATAAATCTTAATAAATCTCGTTCTCCGTTTCACGATCGATTATCTTATCCCTTGCAAACGGAAGACAGCGTATGTTAATCGAACTACAAATACTTCTCCAATAATCTTCCCTTCTTAATCGAATGTAAATTAATTAATCCTTTTTTTTTTGTTAACAAGATGTATATTGAATATCTTTATAAATTTATATCTTGCTCTTCCGTTTAAATCGATACCACTAACTTATAGATTCGCTCTCATCACCGGTCGCTCGCTCCATCTTTTCTATTCTCTATTCATTTCCCATCCGTTCGTCGCAACAAAATATTATTCTGTATTCTTTTTTTATTTACAGTATTATTCGCTTCGCGATTCCCTCAGTTTTGTTAATTAGTGCCGTTCAACTCTCCTATTTCAGTCGCTCGTTCACCCGGTCGATCGTTAAAATCTGTTTCAAAAACTAACGAACACGGCATGAATTAAAGATGGAGGGCGACATTTACCGTCGGAATTCTTTCTTTTGAAAATACTCGCTGAATTTTATCTCTGTCGCAATTCAAACTGCGAGCCATCATTATTCGGTTCTTAATCGACCCATTCAGTTCTTTTCTATTACAATAAAAATACAAAACAGTTTCAATTTTAGTGCTTTTCTTGCTCGTAATTTTTTTAAGTTTAAATGGAACATCGAATCCGAGAATATAAGAAAAAAGAAGATTACTGAGTGAGCCTAATTGAAGCTGATTTTCGTGTAAATGTTTAAAATATATATAGACTGTGCTCAGATTGGCGCCGTTCGCTGTCAGTTAACCAATTCAGTCGGTTTTTATCGAGCTTTCGATAAGCTTTTAAGTTGAAAAGCTACTCATTTTTCGAAAACCTGAAGCTTATCGAAGGCTCCGACGAACCGCTCGCAAAAGGTCCTCATCGATAATTAATCTTAATCAGACTGTCGATCGTTAACTCTACATAAAATATTTACAATATTTCTATCGTTTCTTATCCGTTTTATTTAGACCTCTTTGCTTCTCTACGTTCCATCACAAAAGTTTCATATAAAAGGGTACACTTTTTTTTCTTTTGTAAAAGGATTAAAGTACTAAATTTTATTGAAGGCACAAATACGTCAGTTTCTCATTCGTTTCATAATACTCGACTAATTTACCGTGCTAGTAATACTTCTATCGACAGAAGAATTTCGCCACAGTTCGCTCCTACATAAAAAATTCACTTTCGTCTCATCGGTTATCTTGTTCGATACAAAAAAAAAAAAAAAATAGTGTCTACTGTCACGCTTTTTAAATAATTACAGCGACAGTATCGAAACAAGTTTCTCCCTCGGGTATCTCTGCACGCGACCCCGTGACACACTAAACGGTTTCAAGTTTCAAACAAGCTCAATTATCGAAGCTACCTTCGTGACTGGGCGTCTTACATCGATTCTGTCTGTCCATCAGTAACATTTTCGTCAAGTTCGTTTTCCACAATTTGATGAATTAGTTAGCCTGTTCCGATCAAGAATAAAACGGTTGTCTGACAGTTGACAGAGAAATCAGATTTACCAAACAGAACCTCATACTTTTGTATGTCCCGCTATGCATACGATATGTACGCTCGCACAGAATATTTCATTAAAAATAATCAACAAATAATTTCTATGTTGACGAGTTTCAATAGAAAAAAGAATTTTATTCGGACGTGCAGAGAATTCTGTTTTAATTACCAGACTTTCAATTGAAAATTAAAATTATAATTCTTATGAAAATGATGTTTTTTTTGTTCCCTAAGTGTTTTTTATAAACACCACATGCACAATGACAAGATGACCTACAAACTTTGATGCAAAGAAACCTGGTACAGACTTTATCGTTGCTTTAACGGAAAGAATAATGCGCTGATATGACAGTCTCATTAAAGTACCAACGACAGAGATGAGTATTCTTATTTCTAAGCAGGAGTTTCCAGCTCCCATCTACGAACCAATGATTTTTAAACGAACATTTTCTTTTTCATTTGATCGAATTCAGAAATTGCACCAGTATTGAGGCAACAGGTATTTCCCCCAGCGCCTCTTAAACATTATAAAATAATAATAATAAAAAACAAAGAAAAATCATTGATCACCGGTTCTAATATTTTAATTTTAACATGACAAAGTATAAACCGTCTTAGTCCTTAAACGACAAAGTGTGTCGTACAATTTTCCAACAAACAAGTGTCGCTTCGATAGAAATTATCCCAAAGCGTCTCCCGATCAGCACTCGGCTTGAAAAACCGAATGATTCAGGATAAAATTTATTTACAAAAGCAAGTAACCGCGGCGAGCGTTCTTTGCGGGATCAAAACGAAGACATACATCGTCGTCAACGTAGAAAAATCTTTCATCCGTCGTTGGCGCGGCGTTAGAACATATACAGAGAATAAAAAAAAAAAAATAAGAAAAGAAAAGAAAAGAGAGATGTATTTGAGTGATAGATAAAAACCATAATATTCCGTGGACAATACGCTAGCTAGACGTTAATAACGACTAATTATTACATGATTAACTGCATTATAAGTAAACAATTGGTCGACTCATGTTTTTAAGTACACTTCATTACCGGGATACAAGACATCGTTCCGTCTCCCATTCTTAAGTAAGCGCAGAACAATACAAAATACTGGTTGTTTTATCGTTAGAATAATCGTTAAGGGTAAAACTCTGTTATTCGTCGTTCAATAATTGAACGGACCGAACCTATCTAATAAAATTTAGCATTTTTATGCTATTTGATACCGACTCTCTCTTTCTCTCTTTCTCTCTCAAGCTCACTTGCACTTATACACACACATATACACACATTCTATATTTTTCCTTTCTCTCCCTCCCTCACAATCCGTCGGTCACTGTACATCGCTATTATCGTAAAAGTAAATGCTCTGCATCTCTCCGTCGATTAAACTTTCAGTCTCTTTTGCATAGAGTTATATGCATGTTGGACATTTCGAGCATACCATAGGCCGCTTCGAAATTCGTGTGTTTCGTCGGGGCGGGCTCGCGTCGCGCGAGACCCGCATGGAAGCATTTTCATTAAAAAATATATATGTGTATATGTACATATATATGTATATATATATATGTATATATAATAGTAATAAAGAACAAAATAAGAGAGAAAAAAACGTCGTTTTACGTTCTTGCTCGACGCGTCAAGCAGTTCCGCCTTCTTAATTAGTCCTATAAGAATGTAGTCCCTTCACCGAGAACTAATGTATCATGGACCATAAGGTTTATGGGTTTCTTTCTAATTCTGTCCGCTTCTTGGTTATCTAACGTATCCGATTCCCTAAGCTTATGGACCCTATAAGCATGGAATCTGCAACGAGAAAACGAGTTGTTGACACTGTTAGCTAATCCTCGCCCGTTATCACAGCAATGTGTTCAACTCACGGCATTGTTTGTTGCGACGATGATTCAGTGATCTCCTCTCAACAATTCCATCAACAAGTTAAACGAGCTACCTTCCCCTTCCGCACGTTTCGCGCTTAACAACTCCTTCCCCGCCTGGCATGTTCTTTGTAAGTCTGGGATTCTGAGTAACAGCTCGCCAAACTTGGCAGGCATTTCAGGATACCTTGCTATCGTGTACTGTTGCAACGCCTGCAGGGCTTTCTCCTGAGATGCTCTCACTTTCTCTGGTTCCTTCAGTTCGCTTGTGTCGGATGTCAACAGCACTATTACCTATTTGGAGAAGAATAATGTATTAGTTACCCAATTAAAATTAATAGTTGCATATCTGCTGACAGAAACTGAAAAGATCGGATATGACACCATTGCAGATCTTATTGGACAGACAACAGAATGTTTCACAATGATTTGTAGCGTTATTAGGATCATATTCGTAGCAATTCGGAAAGTTTGTCGTAGAATGACCTTAATAAAAGTACAAATCACTCCAAGACATTGCTATAACATTATCAAGTGAATATCTATCCCGAAACACGTTCTTCTTTCCTCCCAATCCAGTCTTTTCGTCCCTTAATGCTATATGTATTTGACAATAATGACCTTCATCGCAACATATTCGTACTGGTCCACTCTGAGTCTTCTCAGATTATTGGTGAACGCGAGCATCCTCTCAATGCAGGTCGCCAAGCCAAGTTGCCTGGCTTGTTCCAGAGTAATCGACTTGCCGAGAGACACTCTGATTTCACCGGGAGTGCTCATGCTGCGAAAGCAGCACGAGAAGAGCAACAACTCACACCAGGAGTTGATCAACAGGCAAATCTGATCGTCGATCGAAATATTTTTGAACAATGGGAGACTTTTGCACCACTTCACTATCTTGTACAGTCGATGATCGGCGATATTGCAGAGGTTCGACAGGAAATCGGGATGCTGAGTCGAGTTGCCGTTCGTATTGCTGCTCAACGGTGAATTGCTGTTGATAGATGGCGCTCGTTGGTCGTTGGTAACACCGGGAACGGTGGAACAAGACCTGCTGTCTCTTCTGTTACTCAAATTCCCATTCCCCGCAGTCCCATTGGATGAACCCTCGACTCCGGACCCAGCATCGTTTCCCGTTACAGATCCGACTCCCCCTAACAACATACCATCGTTGCTTCTGGACACGTTACTCCCTCCTGGCTGTCCTCCGGACATTCGATCGTTATCATTGTAGTGCCACAAATGCTCCACATCCATGATATCCTGCAGAAGCTGCGGCACCACTTGCATTTTATGCGAATGATTCGAGTGATGTCTAACGGAATAATAATGCTCGCTGCCAGCTGGAGCTGGACTACAATTTCCACCAGCTCCTAGTTTGTCGCCGGTCATGCCGCTAGCGGGGCTCCCGACCAGGCTAGCTGGGAGGGTGTAGGTACATTGGTAGGTACTTCTTCCGCCTCTGGTACGATCCTCCCTGATCGCCTCGAGTTTCATACCTGTGGAAAACAATGCTTTATGAAATATAATCACAGGACTCCCAATGAATATGAAGATCCATTACAAACTTAAGTATGTTTAGCATTTTGGAATTACATTAGCTAAGGTTTTTTGCGCTAGATAATGTCGAGCACTGCTAAATGCAATTCTTCGGGGCAATACTGCGGCGACAGCGTATTATATGGGAACACTCAAAAGATCCCTGTTCTATTGTAAACAATATTTATCCCAACGTACCCATGTTGAGGCACTTGTCGAACCGACAAGCCGGACATTTCTTTCTGGTGGCGACGGTGACCGGGCACCCGGCGCCCCTAAGGCACACATAATTCTTCCGGTTCTGGACGGTGCGTTTGAAAAATCCCTTGCACGACTCGCAGGAGAAGATTCCGTAATGGAAACCGCTGATCTTGTCACCGCATATTGGACAAGGGCTATTGATCAACTGTTGCCTGGTAGAAATACCGGATGGGGCCGATGGTATTCGACAATCTTCCTGGTCGTCACCGGTTGGATGCCCTTCGGGGGAGAGCTCGGAACCGGGCACGGTGGTGGAATAATGATGAGGAACACCGGACGAGGCCGTCGCCGGCAGATGAAGGGGGCTTCCTTGTGCTACCTGATGCTGATGATGCTGCGGATGTCTTGGTTGCTGGACGGGCGAATGCGTGGGCGGACTGAGAGAGCCGTAGCTGTAGCAGCTGCTCGAGGCGTCCGAATTGTTCCTCGAGAGCGAGTGCGACAGCGACAACGACAACGAGGAGGTTGAGTTGTTGAAGCTATGTCGCGAGAGGGAGAGCGAAGACGATGGGACCGGGCTTCCTGCGCCTAAGGCAGAGTGTCGAGCTGCGTGGGGACTTTGCGTCGGCGAGCTGAACACACTGTACGCGGAGTGAATCGCAGAATCCGGTGACGGTACCTGAGCATTTCCAAAAAGGAGAAATTTGTACAAACGATTGGCTAAACTACAGGGTATTAAATAAAAGTGTGGGTACACGTTCACAGGGTGGATTCTACATGGTAAACTGAGACGAAAATCAAGAATGACGAGATTGCGTCCGAGACTTCGCGCGAAATACGTCTAGTGCGATGGGTTGTACTACTCGAACAAACGATTTTCAGTTGATACACGAGCTCGGTCGACGACCCAGTGAGACACAAATGAATGAAATAACTTCTTCAGACTCCGTGTGCATAATTATGCGCATGTATTTTAAAGATTTTTAAGAGCACTTACAATCCTCTGTTTTTTACTTGCTATTGGCTTTGTAATACTGGCACCGTTTAGGTAAACATAACCGAAAATATTCGCGATTGTTTGTTCATCGGTTCCTGGGATATTTAACCCATTAACAGTGTAATAAAATGGCAAGATGTGCTAAAAATGTGCCTGTTTTTTATGTGCTAAACAACCACTATCCATAATTATAAAAATGTAAGAAACATGTTTTACACACATCTTTTTAATAATTATGTCGTGCATGATAGATGCGTCGTGCCAGAGTCTCATTCGGAAGGAATAGTTTGGTACTTGACGCTCTGCTCGAGTCTCATTCTGGATATACTGTTAATGTTACTCTAATTAAGTCACCATGGGGAAACCATCCGCGGGAAGGCGACGTAAGGTCTTTTTCAATTTTACATAATTACTAAAAATGTCTTTTAAATCGATTTTTTGTATTTATATAATATAGAAAAAAAAAATGAAATTTGTTACTTGCTTCTTTTTGTTATTTTACACATTATCAAAATGTCAATATACAGTCAATAACAACGGATGAGCATAATTATGCTCATTATTTTTTTTGTTCAAATAAAGAAAAAAAAGTTAAAAAAAATATTGTAATGTCATTTGAACCTGAATAGTGCAAAATATGTGTATGTATGTTTTGTATCCTTTAGAATTAATTCGATATTAAAGGGGATAAAATGAAACGAATGCAACCACCTCGTGAAGCAGTTGAAGAACGCTCCTCTCAAATAGAATAACCCGTCGCGTCAGACGTATTTTACACGTATTTCGCCCATAGTTTCACCAATTAATAATTCGGAAACGAAGCCTCGAACGTGATTTGGTTATTGTTGATTTTCATCTTAGTTTGTCATGTAGGATCTACCATGTGAAAGCGTCCCACATTTTTGTTAACACCCTGTACAATCAAAACACCACTGTCGACAGTGGTCTGTTCATTTGTGGTACCTGAGATCGCGTGTGGCTATGTTTGGTCAAATGATGTCTTGGGTTTAACACGGGACTGTGATTCGGGGTGGAGCTATTATAGCCACCGAGCAGTTTTCCTACGAGAAGAGGCAATTCGCTCTGCTGCGTCTGCTCGATGCTTTCTATGTTTCGCTGTTGCTGTTGTTGTTGCTGTTGCTGCTGCTGCATCTGCTGACCGTGGGGCAGGGACAATCCTGCATCGTGGAAGGAACCTAACGCAAATCCCGGGCTGGATCGAAAATCTGGCTCCGGTTTTATGTGAAACTTCTGCTCCATTGGTCCGGGACTCGACCCGCAGACCTGGACACCTTCCATCGATGTCTCTTCGTGCGTGTCCTACATGGAAAACATCAGTGTTAGTTTAAAGATTACACTATTTAACCATGATCTACTTCGGTTCTCATCGATAATCAAGTAAACAAACTTGGTTTGTAATCGTGTTGGAAGACATCTCTTGATCGGACAATTCCCCTTCCCACGACATGGGCCTCTCCGGCTGCTGTTGGGTGGCATCGTTACCGTCGTAGCAACCGTTCCCATCGTCGACGTCCCCGTCCCCGATTTTCTCACCGTTCCCGGACACATCCCGTTTCTTCTTCGTCCGTAAATTCACCCCGCGGAAATCTATCTTGCTTATCTCGCCGTCGCTGTCCTCGGCGTCGTTGTCCACGTTCTGACCCAGGACACCGACACCGATACCAATTCCTATGCTATGGGATACGGCGTTCGTCCCGATTCCGGTCGTGGACACCACGCTCGTGTTCCCGCATCCGAGAACGGAACCGCAGCTCGACACCACCGACACCGTGACGCCGTTCTGGCCGGTAAGGTACTTGCAGATACCTTTTCCTAAAACATCCATTAATCATTTTCGTGAGCAAACGGTCCTCAGGACTAAGGACAATTTAAAAAAAAGATCGAGTATATAGTAGGGTACGCTAAGATTGAACTCGTTAATTACCATCGTGTAAGTCTTGATTCGGCGGTACGTTGATCGTTGTCACGGAGACGTTTTTCCCCGTCTCCGTGGTGCGAGCCGCGGTGATGGTGCAGGAATGTCCTCCGGGAGTTGAGGAACAACAACTGGACGGCGGAGCTGTCGATGTGGTGGTTGCCAGGCCGGAGGTAGATGTGGTGCAGGACGCAGAGACGGAGGCGGAGCTGTCTGGAGCAGTGGGGCCAGCGGACGAGGAAGAGGACCCGACGGAGCTGGTCTTCCAAGACTGCGAGGCTGTTTGCCACCAGCCGGGACCCGGTCCCGGACCAGGTCCTGTGCCCTCGCTGGGCCCGTTTTGCTCCGACATCCTCAGCTGGTTACCCTGCCGCACTCTCGTGACGCGACTCGGACCCTCTGGAGAGTCGCGAAACCCAGCGGCATCCTGGGTAGAATATCTCTGGTCGCGGTAGTTGCGTCCCGTGACTTTTGCGTGAACTCCTTCTGTCTCGGTCACGTTCGGCCGGCCTCGGGCATGGAAGAACGTGACCGCGTCTGTGAACCAACGAATCACGGGAGAACGATCATTGAACAATCAAGAAACCGAAGGAATCGTACATTTCCAAGTTAGAATGAATTTTTTCTTTATTATTTCTAGCGTTCTTTGCGGATGGGATCGCCTCGTTGCGATCGCGCACATCCATATGTTCTGCTAGTCACGCGTCCACGGCCGTCCCGCAAGGCCGATCTACTTCCGCCCTCACCGCCGCCCCTGCCCCCTGGAACTACCGGATCGATCCCTCCCACAGAAAAATAGCCGAACGTTCTTCTCGCGTCTGTACAGTTCGTGACCGATCGAACAATGTCGAAATCAGCCGTGGACTAGATGGCGTGTGAGCGTCTACGTTACACTAGACGGATACGTTAACCCCGTTAATTATGTCCGTAGGACGACGTGGCTCTCCGGTTGACGTCTCTACGGGGCAAGCTAATGGGTGCTTTCTAACGGTAAAACGGTATTCAACTGGAGCAACATTGGAAAACCACTAGAACCTTTGCGCGGGCAAATCGGTTCCGAGGAGTCCGTGACAGGGAGGACTCGTCGCGTAGTGGCCATAATTATGGGAAGATCGAGGCAGTCGTGTCGCGTCGCGCGCGCGCGCGCGGAACATCTATATGTATTGGTCTCTCTTGCACGCGGTGGTACGTAGAGGCTACGACGACGACGACGACGACGACGACGGGTGGCTACAACTACGGGCTACGACGCCGACGGTAAGGTCAAGGCCCTCTCTGCAACCGCCCTACCCAACTCCCGATGTACCTTCGTGTGGTCACGTGACGCGGCTCAAGGTCTTTTCTCCCTACTCTCAACCGACCACGCCACGCCATGCATGCCCCGTCCGTCGACCGCAGCAACCGATGCACCCGGAATGTATCGCTCTTTTTCGTGTCGCGTCGGTCCGAGATACCGGGGGCTCCTTCGGCCCTTCTCGAAAACTTCCGAGAGAGCGTTCTCTCGCGGCCGTGCCACTACTCCCCTCCCCACCTTCCGCCTCATCCACCATTCTTCGTGATTCATCGCGGTGCATCGCGTGTATCGGAACGAATCTCCGTCGTGTCGAATAGTCGCGGGTCAATGACACCGAGAGGCCGGTTGGCTCTTTAAAGACGACCTAGACGAGGCCTGGCGGCGGCGGCGACCAGCAGATGATTCTGAATGGGAGTGTTTCGGGACACACAGCGGGAAACGGAGGGCTGCTGAGAGATGATCTCACCGTGAAAAGAATTTCTACCGATACGGGGTGGTGCTCCACTGGCCGACACCGTGGGAAGCGTATCGATATCTATCGCGAGCATTCCGCTCTCATTACCGCGACGTGCACGAAACCCTCGTCGGTTTTATAGGGACTGGCCACGCATGACGCGACCGTACACGCTACTGGGACACGATCGAAATAATATCGATCCACAGTTTACTTGGATGCACAACACAGACACACACACACACACACACACATACACAGAAACGTGCGCGTAGTTCACGATATTGGTCCACGGACGATCGGATTTATCGGGGCGTTCTGGGGACGACGCTTCGCGACCGTTACACGATCTATGTATGTATATTTTCTAGCTGGGCTGTTGCGCGACGCTACACGTTCCCGGCTTGATAGAAGGTGTAGGCATGGCAGGTGACGCGGAAGAGGGATCGATGACCTTAGAGTACACGTCGGCTCTATTTTGAGCGGGTTACCTACAGGGTGTCCCACGGGACCGGGACCGGGCGCCCGAGATCGCTCTGACGATTTTAACCCTAGAACAGTAACGTAACCTTTTTTTTTTTTGGAGCGTGAACAGTTACATGGTGCCGTATGTGACACCAGTTAAATAACTAGTTGTAAACAAAGTTTCTTGATAAAAACGCACATGTATGAAGTTCGGTAATATGTGTTTATTTAATAGGACGTTAAATATATTATTTAATATATATAGTTTTACTATACATATTAATCCTAAATGAGGTAATTGTGCAGTTTAGCGGCTTTTAACAATTTTAGTTGTAAATATCCCGGAAACTAAGCCCAATCGGTGCTAACATGTGAAGGAAAAAGTTGTTCAAAATGTTGAGTTCTATAACATATCCAAAGGCCATTGAAATCGGTGTTGAGTGTATAATTCTGAATAATTTTCCACGCTTTTTTAAACAAAAATAACAAATGTATATTACTTTTTCGACCTACCCCGCTTCATTTTTCGTTTTAGTGATAAAATGAAGCTATTTAAAAAAACCGTAGAAAAATAACGTGCACGTGTAGCTAAGAATCAGTGTAGTAGTGGCAGCAATTTTTTGCAAATATCTCGGGAGCTACATAGATCACTTTCTCGACCTCCCTCGCCTGATTTTTTAACCTGAAAACTGCCGTGAAAGAGCTAAAATTGAAAAAAGCCGCTGAAGTGCACGATTACCGTAAATTAATTAAAATATATTATTTTTACCTATTAAAAAACATAAGTATTAATAACGTAGGTAAATTTTACAATATATGCTTGAAATATTATGATAAATTTGAACTTTTGTATTAACAAATTACATTTATTCAGTGCAATAAATACAAATTACTAATCTGTATTCAGTACCATAATACACACCTGCATTGAACATATGTGTTTTGTACCGTAACGCGGTGTCGTATGTATGTGACACAAATCCGAATGTCTTCATAACCGTGTATGAACCCGCAGTGCACATCACTACGCTTCAATCCCTAGTACTCATCTGAAAGGTATAGTAAATTACGCACCTCTCCGCGCTTAATTATGCTTGTAAGGTCGAATTCAGGGGTTACGTTCCTTTGAGCTGTTAAATAAGAGGGAAAATAAAAAAATTTCTTTGTAATGCAGAATTATTGTTTATTAAAAATTCAATACATACATCTTATTATATATTATTTTATAATAGAAGAAAACAGCTGCAATTTAAAAGCGTTTTGCTCGAAATTCAGTTTTCAAGAGTGGTAACAGAAATATTGAGAAGACAACTGAACCAATTTGTATCAAACTTTGTGGTAATATTCTTAAAACTAAAATCTAGTACTTGACGAAGCGAATTTTTGATTCGTACATTTTTCCATTTTTAGTAACAAAACAAGTTGAAAACTTATGTTGGAAACTACAAGTTTAAGTTCAAACAGCCGCCATTTTGTAAAATATTAGTATTTTCAAAAGCAACTGCGTTAAGTACTAGTTCCATTCGTCTACTTTAATATAAAATTAAAAAAACTTATTTCAGATAAAAGTCCATAGAGATATATCTGGTACCGCAGATGGTATTTCGATGAAACGGGTTACAATTAAATGACAGCTATTTTCTTCTGTTGATAAATATATAATTCAATTTTTCAGAAATTACTAAATAAAAACATATAATAAGATGTATATGTGGAATTTTTAATAAACAATTATTCTGCATATACAAACCAATTTTTTAATGTTCTCTCTTACAAGAGAAGGCACGGAAGTGTCCCCCTCCGATTTTGTCCTACTCCTCGAAGTTTCGATCCGACATTTTTTTGTTATAAATGAATTATATTTTGGACAATTTGTTAGCACCATATTATTCTACATAAAAAACCGCAAACCTCGTCCATTAGAAGTTTTCATGTATTTCCTCTGGTTTTCGAGATAATACTTTCGGGTCGAAACTTCGAGGGGTGGGTTCACTCCTGCTTTTGGAGGATAAGGAAAGATTTTACCCCTTGATCACCGAGTTAAATGAAATTCAACAAAATGGTCAAAAAGTAGAAGGTTCAGGCTTTAATTTTCTTTTCATTTAAATAAATTTTAATAAATATTAAAATAGTTCTGGAACATTGAATTTCAACAATTTTTCATTAGTGCACAAATCAGGCAATACTTTTTCCCAGTATCTCGAAGTATGGTCAACCTAAGAAAACAACAATTAGGCGAAACAGACGTTGATTACTTAATATAACGTCAATGGTGTCTCTAATTCAATCTGACGTTATTGAAGTTGTAGCAGTTTAGCTTTGCGATTAATAATATTAAAATTATCAATTGATAAACGGAAATGGGAGGAAATGTTACAACCGATCCTTACATCCCGGGTCGATAATAACACAACTTTAATTTTAAAATATCAAAATATTAATTCAATTAGATTGTAATAAATGAAAGAAAAGTAAAATATTTGTATGTAGTATGTACACGTTAAAAAATAAAAATAAGTGAAATTATGTAAAAATTGTAAGATTTATGTACAATTAGGGTAACTCTGTACATATCAAAATTATGACAAATGTATAAATCATTTTGTTGTTGCATTCTTCATGTGACTAATCCTTACACTTTATGCATTGCACCCATTGTTCGCTTGATACAAATTACAAATACCAATCAGTTGTAAATTTTATAACAAATACTTTTTTAAAGTTGTGCCAAGTAAATTCAATCAAATTATTCTGCGACTGATTTCTAAAAAGACTAAGAACATACGTAGAAATTAACGAACAAGTACAAGTGATTGCACACTGATCTGAATGGAATTAAAAAATTGACGAATCAATATGCCGCACGATTTATTTGGATGAATTAAACAGATACTTAAGATTGTTCATAACACTGCATATAGTTTACATTTTCCCTGAAATGTACAGAATTAATTAAAAATTCGATTATTTCATAATTTAAGTAATTGTTTAATTTTAACCCTTTTAAATTTGACGTCTTGTGGCATTAAGTGTCCGGTGACTTATGGAGGAAAGTGTAAAACTTCTACGGTTCGAAAGTTTGGGATCATTGATCATATTCGTTACATGTGTGCGAACGTTTCTCAACATTCACAATTTTGGACACTGA